CTTTAGCCATAGATTTATTAAGCTTGTTATATTGAATTATCACCTTTTCAATCATTTTAAATAATTGTTTGAGTCTATTATTTTTACTTTTTTAAAATCTATTTTTGGGAATTCTATTCATTGAAAAATGTTTTGGTCTCAAATTTATTAGTTGACAATGAATTTCATGCTGATTATTGAGGAGTTTATCACTGACTGAAGTGGAGGAGTTATAGACTAAGCTACCTTTTTATGTAAATTTGAATTATAAAATTGTATTTTGTAAATTAAATTTTAGGTGCTCCGCATAGGTTATAGCTAGGGCTTTTATTTTTATTATATATTCTGACTGTTAGTTGAAAGGGGGCTGAACTCTAGATTGATTTAAATATTTTGCTTGAAATATTGTATTATAGAATTTTGGAAGATTTTATTTATAGGAGAGGTTCTGCTATAATTTTTACAAAAATATAGAAACTTTTGTTGTAACGTAAATCTAATTATGTTTCAGAAATAGAAAAAATTCTTAATTTAAGGCTTAGGGGATGTACGATATGATTCATATCCCATGCTAGTCACCTTTTATTTTTTAGGCATGACACTAATATTTCTTTAGAATTTCATTTTCCTCAATTTGACCATCTAGATTCTTAGCTCCTTTACTTTTTGGAGGATTTTTATCTACAGAATCAATGGATCTACCATGTTTCAAGCACTGATTGACAACGATTGATTGTTCAACAGGGCCATCAATCTTGTTCAGAGCATTGGCAATTAGACTATGTGATTTAGTAACTCTTTTTAGGTCAGTAAATGCGTATGGCAATTGATTTGATAAACTTTGCAATTGAATTATATTTTGAACTTCTTGTTCACACTTTTTGTATGAGGATCTAAAGAAGACAATCACAATTCATTCCAACTAATTTTCTTTTTCAACTGCTTTTTTTATCTCTTAATGTTAGAAAAAATGATTCATCAAAATGACAATCAGCAAAATATGCTGTAAATAAATCTCTTGTTGATGGCTCAAGATATCTTATTATTGATAGAGATTCATATCCAACATATATTCCTAACCTTCTTTTAGGTTCCATCTTTGTGTGTTGCGGTGGAGCAATTGATACATAAACTGCACAATCAAAGACTTTAAGGTGAGAAATGTTATGCACTCAACCCAAAATCATTTGTAAAAGGGATGAATTTTGATAGCCTATTGGCCTGATGCAAATAAATGTTGTAGCATGCATAATCGCATGCCCCCAAGTGGATACTAGGAGTTTTGATTGCATGAGTAATGGCCTTGAAATCAATTTTAATAGTTTAATAAATGATTCTGCAAGTCCATCTTGTGTATGAACACATGTTATAGGATGCTCAATTTCAATTCTAATAGATATACAATAAATATTAAAACTCAGTAACATTATCAAAGCATATTTTCTTATCTGAATAATCAGGGAAATGACCTTTTAGTTTGATTAAGTGAGCAACCAATCTTGTATATGCTTGGTTGCGAAATGATAGTAAGCAAACATGTGACCATCCAATTGATGTATTGATCAAAATCATGAAATATCTAAATGATCCACATGGTTGGTGAATTGGCTTAAAAACATCACCTTATATATGCTCTAAAAACTTTACTGATTCACTTTTAATTTTGGCTGGTGATGGTTGGATGATCAATTTTCCTTGGGAGCAAGCAACATAGGAAAACTATTAGATTGAAGAATCTGCTAACTCTTCAAGTAATGTTTGAATATGTTTTTTATTATAGTTCTCATTATAATTGATTCAGGATGGCCCAATCGGTTATGCCTAACAAAGAACATGTGACTTGTAAACTTCTAGTTTACAACAGCTTGTGATTCATTGTACAAATTTATGTGTAGTACAATGCGGAAGAGAATGTGGGTAATCTTTCCAATACATATTTTTTATTCAAGGTGCTTCTCATGATATAGAGATATTCAACATCCTTATTATTCATCGTCTCAATGTGATATCTATTTTTTTTGGATGTCTTTAAAGCTTAATAAATTTCTATGAGACTTAGAAGAATATAATACATTGTCAATGTGAAAATTTATTTCTCTTTGTAATATTATATTAGTTCTTTTGAAGCTTTCAATTAATTTTATATTACCAGATATAGTACCAATATAAGCTTCCTTCCTTATTAAATTTTAAAAATATCCTATATTATTGAGAATTGTGTGTGTCATAGCACTATTCACAAGGCATATATTCGCATAGTTAGTGCTGGTGCCAACTGTTGAATTAGACATTCTTCAAAACATTAAAAATAAATATAAGGATCAATGTGCTAAAATACGTAAAACATAAATTCTAATTAAAAAATATAAATCAATATTCCATCATAAACTTTAATATTCTAAAAATGTATAAAATTATAAAAAGAAATATGTGAAACATAAATGAAAAAAAATTAATAACAACAACATAATTTATGGATGGAATGTTCTATCATCAATAAGGCACCTAATGTTTCCATTCGAGTTAAAGAATAAATCAGTTATGTCCAAATTAGATATGTCCATATTTTCAAATTCAAGATCATTATTATAAAATACGAGATTTGTCTCTACTTTATTCTCCCTTTTTAGGGATTCTTCATAAAGGTTAATAAGGTGCCTTGGGGTACGACAAGTATAAGCCCAATGACTAATTCTAAGACAATGATAACATTTGTTTTTATAAAGTTGATTACTTACTCCACCTTTTTTGTTGTTGCATTTTTGCAATTAGTTGCTTTAGGTAAGAGTTCTATGATGCAAGTCCCTACCTTAACTTTGCCCACATCCACAACCAAAACCATGATCGTAACCATGACTAAAATCCTAACCACAAGGTTGCACATGAATATAGTGGTAATGTGTTGTTACAATCACTTTAACGAATGGAGCAATGCCGGTTGCAAGTAATTCATGTTTTTTATTAATAACTCATTGTTTTGTTCAGCAAACAAGAGATGTGATATTAGCTTTGAATAGTTTTTAAATCCTTTCTCACAATATTGCTAGTGCAAGAAGACATTGGATGCATGAAAGGTGGAGAATATTTTAGCTAACATATCCTCATCAGTGATTTCTTGTTCACACAATTTGAGTTTGGAACTAATTCTAAACACAGCTAAGTTATACTCGCTTACAATTTCAAAGTCTTATAAGCACATGCACATCTATTCATATCACACTCGTGGAAGGATAATTGTTTTTTGATGATCATATCTTTCCTTCAGATTGTTCCAAAGAACAAGTGAGTCTTTTACAATAAGATATTTAGCTTTCAATCCTTTATGGGGGTGGTGGCATAGGAAGATCATTATTTTTTCCTTCTGGTTAAATGCTTTATTTGATGTTTTAATGGTATCTCCTAGACCATTTGCATCTAGGTGAATTTCAGCATCTAAAACTCCAAATAAATAATTTCTTCCCATAATATCCAAGGCTACAAAAATTGAGTTTAGCCAAGTTTGACATTGTTTGTACTATATAAAATTAAATTCATGTAATATCAAGGCTAACAATAAGAAGTTACATTAATCATGGAAGCTAACAATAAATTTAAAACAAAGAAGAAGCAGTAATTATATATAACAATAAGTGAATGTAGCAATATTATAATAAAAGAAATAGCCAAAGGAAAAAAAAAACAAAGGGAAGCAGTTGCAAGATTGGAAAACACGAAAATAACAATATTATAATAAAAGAAATTATTAAAAATTAATAAAGGGGAAGCTGTTACGGGATTTAAATGTAAATAAATATAAAAATGGATAAATAAATATTTAAATATAGATACTTCAGGATCTACCTTATGTTATGGATAGCTTCTAAATTTACTTTAGGTTCTGTAAATATTTTTATGATTCACTTTATATTTTATATAGTTAACTTTGAGATTTATTTTGCACTTTATATGGATAACTTTAATATCCACTTTTATGTTATGTGTGAATGATTTCAAGATCCACTTGTCTTAAAATTACATACATAGATTACCAAATGAATTATATACATAAGGAATTAAAAAAGAAATTAAATGCAGGATAAATAAATAAAACAATAGATAAATAATTGAATATAGATATTTTTAGTATCTACATTATATCGCATAGATAACTTCAAGACCTATTTTAAATTCTATAGATAACTTTTAGATTCACATTTTTTAAATTTTAAATTATGTATCATACTTCTAGAGGTAACACATAATACGTAATTTAATTAAAAAAGAAAATAACTGAATAAATAAATTTGATAAATAAAAATACGTAATTTAATTAAAAAAGAAAATAACTGAATAAATAAATTTGATAAATAAATAAATAACTAGTTAATATATTGTAGAGATTGACTCATTTTTAAGAGAGTATGCCTCCATCCATATTAGATATGTTCATTGGCATGACCATAAATCTCTAATGCACTAATAGAATAAATGAAAGTAAACTCAAGAACAAAAATCAAAGTACACACCTAAGGATGGTAGAAGTAGAACAATTGTGCTAATAACATATTTTGAAAATAGAGATTTAGGGGAGAGAAGAGAAAAAAACTGTACAAAGAGAAATATTGTAAGGAGAGTATATTCAAAGAATGAGAGAAGATATAATTTTTATTTCAATGTGTTGAATACAGTTGAGATACATCTTATTTATAGGCTTAGATTATAAATGACTGAAATAAATAAAATATATAAAATATTAATAACTAAAAGATATTGGAATGACCAAATGATATTAGAATAACTGAAAGATATTGACATCCACATAATGTCTTAAATATTCATAAAAATAATTACTTATAATTTCAACCAAAAAAAAAGTTTTATAGTACAAGATAGATCAAGAATAAGAACTTGGCCAAATTAGAATACATATTTTTTTCAAGATAACTCATCCATGCATGAATAATCATATCGATGTATGAAACTGTTTAATACAAATATCCACAAGAATTTTGTACAAGCTTAATAGACATAACTATCAAAAATTACAATTTGCTTCTAAAATAAAAGGTTCCCATGGCATCATTCTCCAATTGTGTCTGAAGTGCAACTGGTAAAGGGTTATTCCATGTGCAATTGTATTGGTTTTTAGATCCAAACTTCGCAAGAAAGTCGGCACATTGATTCCCTTCTCTGAAAACATGAACAAATTGTAGACTTCCCCATTCTCTTTTGCATATTTCTCGAATTTCTTTGATAACCTCTCTGTACATATGAATATCTACATTTGCCCATTCTATTAAACCGAGAGATTCTGTCGAGTCTGTTTCACAAATGACTTTATGGCATTCTAAGTCCCATGCAAGTTCAAGTCCTTTTTTAATAGCTAAAAGTTCAGCATGTACAATATGTTCAACTTGAACATGCTCTGAGAAACCCATAATTAATTGACCATCTGAGTTTCTAATGAGTCCTCCTATACCTGCGTTTCCTGAATTAATATGGAAACTTCCATCCACATTAACCTTGAATGTGTCAAATAGTGGCGCTTCCCATCTGACTAGTCGAATCAAGTTGGGTTATTGAGTAGGACAATAAAACATTCCATCTGCTTTTATAGTATTTGATATCAAAGCCATCTACATGATATAAATATTTATTTAGAAACAAGAGGGTATGGCACGAATAAAGCAAATAAATTTGGTGAAATTATTAAAGCAAACATCAAGTTCATGAACAAAATATTGTATTTACTAAATTTTAAACTTAAAACAAATTTTTATGTTGAAGTCAAGGTATTTAATTTCACTTATTTATTCTAAAAAATATCTTTGATGCACAATATCTAGTGTCTACTATGTAAATCAAGTTTCGGTAATTGAGAGGTATGTTTATACATGGACAAATGACGTGTCGATTTGTTTAAGATTTTTTTATGAACAAAATCAAATATTTAAAAAATTATTTGAAAGAAATTTTATGATGTTTTAAAGAATTTAAAAATAACCAAAATATTTTTTAAAGTTAGTATACCTCCCAAAAATAATCAGATATAAAAAAGGAGATAGAATGATTATAAAAAATACAGAAATTCATAAAAGATATTATTAAATTTAAAATTTTATGAATACAGATACACTATGATATTATAAAATTAGGAAATGATTAAATAATAAATCTTATCTAAATTATAAAAATAATTTTTTTAAAATTGAAAACAATTTCTTAGGATTAAAAAATAATTATATAAAAACATGCATTGAAATAAAATATCGATGTTCTAAAATAGGGATAAAAAACAAGAGTTAATTATTATAATGATTGGATACAATTTAAGTACATGCATAGTCATATTTTTTGTGCCGCGTCTTTTATCTTTTCTATCAAATTATATGAATGCATAAATCGCCTGGAAAAAAAAATTATATCCCCCTTTTACTTTCATTCAAAAAAATTCTTATTTTTTAAATGTAGAAAATTAAAAAACTACCTTTTGAAAAGAACAATTGATTCGATGAGAATAAAATAAACTACGTACAGTGACCTAATTAATAAATAAGGAAAAATATAAAGACCAACAAATTATTTTTTCCGAGAAACAATTATATTTTTATTATTTCATATCACTTTTCTTTTAGTCTCTAGTTTATGCGGAGGAAAAAATTTAATGAGTTTAATTTTCTTAAAAAAATAAATAAATGAGATTATAAAATTTAAAAATAGGCAAACGAAAAGTCAGAAAATTATTTAAAAACTTTTTACTCAATTTCTCTATTTTTTCAAATCAAACTTATTAAGAAAATTTTTCTCCTCCATTTGCCTTAAACCAAACAAAGATCTACTGAAACAAAGGGAACAAAGAACCACAGAATTAAACACTAGAAGAAAGCTTGATAGTGTTATTACTTACTCTCTTTTTTCGTGGTTGAAACCTTACTTTCAATTTGATGCAACGATTAGGTATATCAAATTGTATTTAGATGATCTCTATATGTTGTATTCTACCTTCTCTTTATCTCTCTTTGTCTTCTGTCTATCTTCGTCGAGGTCTTGTGAATTTTTTGGCTGTTGTGAAGTTAAAGTCTTCACTCCTACGTTCTTTTATAGGGAGGGTAGCTTAGATTAGAAGAAATATGAACAGATATTGTGAATATGAAATTAAATCTTCTAAATGATATGAAAAGATTTGAAATAGATAACGAAGATTTTCTTGAAAAATAAATTTTCAAGTTATTCAAAATATTAGTTTATTTAAAATTTACTTCTTTATTTCTTTATTTTTATTTAAAAATAAAATATTTTTTATGATTTTTCGTTTTCATAATATTGAGTAGAAATTGAATTATAAGATATCAGAAAGAGTTCAAAAAAATTATTAATATACTATATAAAATTTAAATTCTCTGATATCAGACAAATATTATAAATCATATTCCCATTATAAACAAAGGTCAACTTATTTTTAATTGTAAAACAACACTTATAAATTCCCCGAGAATCAAATATGAGATTAAAATTAAAAATATTATTAAATTATAATTAATTATATTGATTAAAAAAATCAGAGATTGCATTAACAACAATTTCAAAAATAAAAAAATTAATAAGAACACACACACACATTTAAATAATTATAAGCTGATTTCCACCACAAAGTTCCACTTTGTTTAAATTTTTAATAAAATGCTATATTCTTTCAATTTTACTTAAATATTAAAATAATAATATCCATATTATATTATTACATCATAACATTATTATAAATTTATATTTATTCAAATATTTATAAATTAATTAATAAATATTTGTAAATTGATACTATTATTTATTTATGTTTTATATAATAATATTAAATTATTTTTTAAATATATTTTAATATAGTAATATTCATGCTATATTATTTTATAGCAGCGAAATATCATATAATTTTATATTTAATTTATATAAAAATCCAACTCAGTGGATTTAATATGTTTCTTAATAATATATAATTGGACGTAATTATTTTTTTCATTGTTTAACGTAAAATTATAAATTGTAAAAACAACCCATTATAAATGGTTTCCAATTTATATTTAGAAACAAGTCCTCTATTTGTCTTTGTTGGAAGCAACGTTTTAAAAATAGAACCAATCCAAAACTATGAGGTAATTAAATCGTTACGAACTGGTGATGGAGTATGGATGAGATTTAATTACTTTTATTTAAAATTATTTTATTAGTATTGTTTGAATAAGTATATTTAGGGTTTATTGAGATTTGATTTAGTATCTAGAGATTGTTATTATTGTTTTAGTATCTTATATTTATTTTATCTTTAAGTATTATATCAAATAAAATAAGATATCTAGACTAGCTAGATACTTTATCTTTATCTTTTAAATTATGATTTGATTTAGATTTAGATTTATCATTATTTTATTAGTTTTAGGGCTCTATAAATAGCTTTAAAGTTTCTCATTTGTATTTAGTTTTTGAGTATCATTGAATAAGAAGTTTAGAGAGTTTCGGTCTTCCCCCTCCTTCTTTCTCTCTCCTCCTCCTTTTCCTTTATCTCTCTTCTCTTTGTTCTTCTTTTCCCTTCTCGTTTTACATCAACCAATAAACTGGTCAACAAACTAGTAAAACTAAAAAATTGATTGGTTTGCCAATTCAAGCAAATTGGTTTGAAAGGAAAAAAGGAAAAATCTAAAAAATATTATTATGATGTATATTATTAAAAATATTACAGTATTTACAAGCGATCATGGTTCAACCATGATCTAACCCTTAGTCCTTAAATTAATATTTTGTTTGGTTCAATGATTGATTCAATTTTTAAAGCCTTGATTGAAAGATGTTACTATCAATTCCAAAAACCCCAGGCCCTAATAACTCCTCTATCTATAAAATGTTTAAGAATTGACCAAACCTAAACCCTTCAATAATTGTATAAGGAAAAATACTTAAGTAGATCGGGCGCACCACGTCATTTGTGATCTATCTAATCAAAATGCTTCATATAATCTAAATAAAATCTTGTATGACATTTTTCAAATTGTATATTTAATTTTCCACATTTTCTCTCTCTATTATCATTAATATCATAATCAATTTATACTCAATACTATTTAAATGTCACTTTTTATTAAATAAATGGTGCATCTGATCTATCTAAGTATTTTTTTTTACATAAGATGAATCTCTAATTTATTATCTTTTTCTTGAATTGAAGAATGAGGTGTTAGTTTTTTTGTTTTGTTTTGGAAGGGGACAAAATTAAACACATCCATAAAGTTACAAACCTACAATGAATGTACCCACCAATGCATACCCAAAATGGTGCATTTTTTCTTTCCCTTTAGGCCTTTGCAAAGCAAAAGCTTCAGAGGATATTCCCTAATCCTTCCTACCAAGTCCCAATCCCTCCTCTTACCCTTCTCCTATCATCTCTACTGTTGAATTTCAACTTTAATGATTGAGATTTAATATATTAAAATATTAAAACAATTATATTTTTATTATTTCATATCACTTTTCTTTAGCCTAAGGAAAAATTTTAATGAGTTTAATTTTCTTAAAAAAAAGGGTAAAAAACGAGATTATAAAATTTTAGAAATAGGTAAACAAAAATTAAGAAAATTATTTAAAAAAAATTTAAATCAATTTCTATTTTTTTTCATCTAACATACTAAAAAAAATTCCTCTTTTTACCTTAAACCGAAAAAAGATATAGTGAAACAACAGGAACAAATAACCAAAGAATTAAACACTAGAAGAAAGTATTAGTTATATCAAATTGTATTTAGTCTTTCTCTTTATATGTTGTACTCTACCTTCTCCTGTATCTCTCTTTGTCTTCTGTAGCTCTTTGATTTTTTCCCCTCCCTTGTGAAATTAAATTCTCCACTTTTAGTTTTTTTATAGGGAGGTAAGCTTAGATTAGAAAAAAAAATAGAAATTAGAATATTAATGAAGATATATTGTGAAAATGCAATTAAACCTTTTAATTGATTTGAAGAGATTTGAAAAAGATAACGAAGATTCTCATGAAAAATAGATTTTTAGGATATTCAAAATGCTACCTTATTTAAAATTTACTTCTTTTATTTCTTTATCTTTTATTTAAAAATAAAATATATTTCTTTTTATATTTTATTTTCATTTTCATAATATTGATTAGAAACTTTTTTGTTTCCAGAAGATTAGAAATTGAATTATAACATATTAGAAATAGTTCAAATAAAAATTAATAATTAATATACTATATAAAATTTAAATTTTCTGTTACTATACAAATATTATAAATCACATTACCATTATAAACAAAATCCTACTGGTCAACTTATTTTTAATTGCAAATCAACATTTATATATTACCCGATAATCAACCCATGAAATTATTATTAAACAATATAATTAAATAATAATTTATTATACTGATAAAAAAATCAAAGATTGT